CTTGGATGGCAGACGTGGTCTCTCTGGGGTATATTCCCAGTAATGGGATTGCTGGGTCAAATGGTATCTCTATTTGCAATTTTTTGAGAAAACGCCACACTGCCTTTCACAATGGTTGCACCATCTTACATTCCCACCAACAGTGAATAAGAGTTCCAGTTTCTCCACATCCTCGCCAGCATTTGTTGCTTGCTGTTCTATTTTGCTATTCTTACTGGGGTGAGATGATATTTCATAGTTGTTTTGATTATTTTTTTTTAAATGCTTTCTCTCATTTGCTGGAAGATTTTTTTAACTAGATCTCTATTTCGTCTTTTGGTTTTCTTACATTTTTTCCCCCTGTACCTTGATAAGCTATTCTGAATCTTTGCAGTCAGTTATGTGTTTTGCTAACACTAGTGGGTGTAAACCAGTGGTGTCAACAGTGGCATTGCTGACATATGGACTAGATAATTCTAGTCTGTGGGGGTGTGCCATAGGATCCTTGGCTTCTCCATTCTCAAGGCCAGTAAGCATTCCTGCCTTTAATCATGTTAACCAAATGTTAAGAGCCAGATATTATCCAGCATCCTTGGGGTTAGAGATGGGGTCAGACGGATAATAATACAAGAAGGAGCAAAGTCATCCCTAGTTGAGGATCACTGGTCTCATCTAAATATGAAAATATTTACAAACTTTTCTGATACCAAATGCAACCACTCATGACGTCTTATGCTGTTGTTGTTGTGACAGGCTGTTGAGTATCCTGTAAATCACAGTGAGCCTGTAAACAAAAGCTCTGAATCCTACTCTATCACTGTCTCTGACACACCTAATCCCATTATCCCAGTTACTATTTCAGTCCATCTCAATTAAGATCTTCCCCTTCACCCTTCTAAGTATGATGTCCTTCTCCAAGGATTCACCCCTCCTGGCAATATGTCTGAAGTATGTGAGATGGGGCTTGAGATCCTTATCTCTAAGGAGCAACTTGATTTCACCCTCTCTAGGATAAACCTGTTTGTTCTCTTGTCAGTACATAAAATGTTCAATACTCTTCTTTAGCACCACAACTCAAAGGCATCAATGATTCTTCTGTTAGCCTTAGTCGTTGTCTAGCTCTAATGCATGACAAGTAATTGCCAAAACCTTGGCCTGGACCAGGCACACCTTAGTGTCCAGACTATCATTGCTCTTTAGCACTCTGGAGAGGTCCCTGACAGCACATTTGTCCAGTGCAATTTGTCTTTTGATAATCCTGTGTGCTGGTAACAAGAGCATTAATAGTGTAACCAAGCAAGCTGAAATTGTTAACAATTTCAGTCTCCTCTCCATCTATCATGGTGCTGCTAACTGACCCAGTGGTGAGGATCTGTCTTCTTGATATTGAGCTTTAATCCATATTGAAGACTACAGTTCTTGACCTTCTGTAGCAAACGCTTCAGGCTCTCCTCATTTTCGGCATACAGGGTGTGTCATCTGCATAATGTAGGTTGTTCTTATGCCACACTCTTCCTCATAAAGCCCACCTCCTGAATGATCTGTTATACAGATCATTGAAAGATTGAATACAGATTGAAAGATATGGAGACAAGATTGATCCTTGACATACTTCTTTCCCAGTTTTGGGCCATGCAGTGTTTTCTTGCTCTGTTCTGATAACTGCTTCCTGGTCTAGATATAGGTTACACATGAGCACAATCAGATATTATGAAATTCTTGTTCTTCTCAAAATTAGCCAAAGTTTTTTGTGATCCACACAGTCAAATGCCATTGCATAATCAGTGAAACACAGATATTCTTCTGTTATTCTCTCTGCCCGGATCCATGTGATGTTGGCTATCATCGTATTAGATTAGTTGGGGCTGGTGAGAGGGTGGAGAAAGGTGTCCAGGGTGGAGTAAGAGGAGGTTTCTGAGAGGATGATGGTGGGTGGGGCAGGGGATGGGATCATGTCCTATGGACCAAGGAGGGAGGCAGGACCAAAAAGGAATCTGTTAGCTGTGTAACCAGGTAGGGACTTTTCTTCTGCTCTTTTGGGTAAATACTTGTATGTCAGATATTGTTCTAATGCTCTGCATCCAAAGAGAGACAGACCAGGAAGAAGGCTGGGCCATCCACTTCTGAAATAACAGGCCTTCACTCAGATTACACCAGCAGAGATGGCATCAGAGACTGAGCCCTCGAACTGGAAAATGCATAGGAGGAGAAACAGCTGCAAGCAGACGCTAGTGATACAAACGAGGAATGTAAGAACCATGAATGTAGAAAAGTTTGAGATTGTTAAAGATGACATGGAACAAATAAATATTGGCGTACTAGGTATTGGAGAGTTGCGATGGATTGGCTCGGGACATTTTGAATCATTCGTATGATCTTCTGTGCTGGAGATGAAAAGGTATGAGAAAATGGAGTCACACCATACTCATATAAAGGGAAGACCTATTCATACAACTCTCATTCAAATACATGCACCAACACCCAGAGGCAAAGAGGAGGAAATAGATGACTTCTACCAACTTTTACAGTTGTTACAATTGAACATGCAATCAGGATGCATTAATAATAATGAGTGAGTGGAATGCAAAAGTTGAGAACAGGGAAGAAGGGTCAGGAGTCAGAAAACATAGACTCGCAATAGAGATGAGGCTGGAGTTAGAATTTTGCACAATCAATTATTTACTTGCAAACACCTTTTGAAAGAAACAAACAACAGCTGTACGCATGGAATTCACCTAATGATCTACACAGATTGATTACATCTGTGGAAAGACTTGGTGACGCTCAGTATCAGCTGTGAAAACAAGGCCAGGTACAGACTGTGGAACAGATCATCAGCTATTCATATGTAAGTTCAAGGTGTAGCTAAAGAAAATGGAAACAAATCTACAAGAAGCAAAATTTGGTATCAAAGATATGTTTGCTTCATAGAATGAATCTGGGAGGGTTCCATCTTCTTCTATTTTCTGAAATAATTTATGTAGAATTGGT